GTTCCTGGCCAAGAAAGGAAAGTGTGTAAATTAATTAAATCATTGAATGGATTGAAACAAGCCCCTAAACAGTGGCACGAGAAGTTCGACCATGTAATGTTAATTAATGGGTTTAAAATAAACAAAAGTGACAAATGCGTCTATGTGAAAAGCACGGTAGACGGCTATGTCATTTTGTGTTTATACGTGGATGATATACTCATCGTGGGTAGCAATGATCTAATGATTAATTCTACCAAAAGCATGTTAAATTCTAAATTTGACATGAAGGATATGGGGTTGGCCGATTTAATTCTTGGGATTAAAATAATTAGGGGACCTGATGGTCTAACGCTAAGCCAATCTCATTACGTTGATAAAATCCTTACGAAATTTAATAAGGATGATTATCAAGAGGCAAGGACGCCATTAGATAAAAACGATCATCTTACCAATCACATTCATGTTTTTTTATTTTTTAATATCTCATTGCATCTAAATTATTATGTGGGTGCTTCACTCCAGTGCGACGCATAGGTGGACGCATAGGTGGAGTAACTAGTGTTACATTAGAGCACGTTTGCTCACAGTGCTGTGTCTTTTGTTTCTTAGGCTCTGAAGAAAAAATTTCAGATGGAGCAAAGTGTCTTTCATAGTTATTGGCCCACACTTCTCTAAATGATTCAGCCTGGTCGAGTAACACATCAAGAGTCTCTCCCAACACACTTGGCAGGTGTTTCTCCCTATCCATATAGCACGGGGAGGGAGAGATCATTTGAGATTGTTTAGGAAATTTTTCCCTGATAACATCCATGGCTGGATAAGTCTTGCGGATTGCTTCCATAGCGTCTTCAACCAAGTATCAATATTCTCGGCTTACTCCTCTCCCCACGAGCGTTTCGAATTCTAGGTACATATTGTTGGGAAAATGTGTTAAAAATTGCATTAAATGGTCATTTTGGGGTAATTATTTGAGTGGGGTCCACTTCCGATTTGGGTCGGGTCAAAGTGGTTTCGGATTGTCCTTGTTAAGGGCTACAATTCGATATGTGGTACACTCAAAACGGATAACGGGTGAATGAGAAATTGATTCTCGAAATTCACTCGTTGAAATGGAAAAACTGGGAAAAATGATGAGTTTCTAGTGTGTTTTATCCCACACCGAAAAACTCAAGGGATTTTCACCCCCTTATAAAGGGAAGCCTCTTTTAAGGAGTTAAGATTCCTAAAGGGAAAGGCTCTTTCTTACGCGCAGGGGGGGTGCCGATCAAATCCCGAAACGGAGAAGAAAAACCACGACTCGTGTGCGCGGGCGACCTGCGGACACGAATGCCGTCCAAGAATCTATCTCTCATGAGATACGGTTAATTTTTGTTTTCTTCCCGAAACGTTTTTATTTTTTCCCAGAAGTGCTCCGGACAGAAGGCCTCGAACAGAACCCCTCGAAGGGGTGTTCTGTTGGCTTCGGACAGAAACCCTCCAAGGGATGTTCTGCTGGCTTCGGACAAACCCCTCCAAGAGGTGTTCTGTTGGCTTCGGACAGAAACCCTCCAAGGGGTGTTCTGTTGGGGTCTTCTGTCGCGCATTTCTTCCGTTACAACAATTAATGCCCAACGTTCTGCTCTTTCAATGCTGCGTTAAATGGACATTTTATGGACGATTCAATGCCCAACGGACTGGTCATTGATGTCCAACGTTCAGGTCCATTAACACCCCATTTAACACACAACAAATCTTCCTATAAATAGCTGGCAGGTGCTTTGCAACAAACACACGGTTTGACACAACGCACAATGCATTCCTCACGAATTTCTTGACCTAAAAAACACCTACAGCTACTCTGAAAATTCCTTCTGTGTTCTTACTTGGTTCTCGTTCGCTGGAACTCTTGTTTGTGTGCTCAAACATTAGTTCGTAGTCATCGTATCCTGGGAAACGATTGTTGCAACGCTCCTAGCACCGTGGGAGGCAACAAATACGTTTTAAGGAAATCGTGTGTAGCACGAGCTTTAACTAATTCTGCTTCATCTCCTTTCTTGTTTTTCTCTAGTCATTTTATTTAATTAATTTATTTTAATTAATTTTCTTTATTTTCCGAAACACACCCAACACATATCTCAAAATGGCAACTCTTTAAAAAGCTTCATTTGGTTCTCCAAGTGTCTCAGAGATTGAAAGGTTCAGAGACATTTCTCCTTCTTCAGCAGACTTCCCATCTTGATCATCATGATTTTCGGGCTCCTTCATCTTCCTAAATCCTGAGAATGTTATACACAACATCCTCAAACTTGGTGAATTGGAGCCACAATAGAACTTAGGCCCCGTTTACTTACGATTTAATGGGCTGAATGGAAATTAGGACTTATTCGCTCAGCTATATCATTGTGTTTACTTGTGACTTAATTTATAGAGTGACTTATTCGGTCATACCATTTTTGACTTTATCATTCAGCCCGATTTTAATACGGCTTCAGACATCTCCCGGTGCGAGCATCTCGTTTTTAACCATGTATCCACCTCTCACATATTTCATCGCTTCTCCATCCCTGGATATTTCTTCCTTTCATCTCAAATATCATCCCAGACATCATCAAAACTCCTGATTCTACCTGCGACCTGTCGCCAAAGGAGAGAAGAAACATCTCTCATCCCCTACCTTCTTCATCTTGGTAATTCTTGTGATTCTATATTTATTTAAGATTTTTTAATTTGTTTTAATGGACAGAGTTTTCTTTTTTCTCAATTTAATTCCGACTCAAAAGCTATCAAGTGGGTTTCCTACATGCGAATTTGGAGTTACTAGAAGTAAATTCAAAATGGGCATGCTCATAGGTAGGGTTGTAAACGAATCAAATAATTTGTGCTCGATTCGCGATTCGAATTCGTATAAGACGATTCGAATTCGGAAAATTCAAATACAAATACAAATAAGAACATTAAATTTGATTCGAGTTGTTATCAAATACAAATAAGAATATTAGTGTATTCGATTCGAATATTAATCAAATATATTCGATTAATAATAATAGTAATATTAATGTCAATAATAATAATAGTAGTAATAACACTATATTAACTTTTAAAAGATAGCAATACCCTCAAAGTGTAACCCATATATACACTTTTGCATACAAATTTCAAGCCTATTTGTTAAAAATCAGAATATAAATATAAATACAAATCAATTTTTTGGTTCAAACGTCTTTCAAATACAATACAAATAATTATGTATTCGATTTGAAGAATAAAATTAGAGTTGTTTGACTTTGATATATACAAATATCAACTTATTTCACACATTATAAGTATAATTTCTAATATGTGTGTTAGTGTTTATTTAAAAAAGTTTGAAATAGATTTATATTTGTTAATCATAAAATTAATTCACTTTAGTATATTGTGTACCATCTAAAAATGCACTGATCCATTAAATTTAAATTCAAAAAACACATATTAAGTCATAGCATGCATTTACAACATAAAAAATATGGAGTATAAAAAAGTTATGAGTTTTTTACAAGAATATTACTAAAAAGTTATTTTAGAGTGATATTTGACTAAAATTTAACTTATGCTCAAATCGATTCGGTATTCGTATATGATTCGTTAACTATTCGTATTGTTAAACAAATACAAATACAAATCAAAATTAATATTCGTTTCATATTTGAATTCGAATTCGTATTCGAAAAAATTAAACAAATACAAATACAAAATTTCAACTCGATTCGATTCGTATAGAACCCTACTCATAGGGTATTAGTTATATGTGTAATTGATTGTTGTAAGTGGGAAGCTTGTTTGGGAAAATAGGATAGTACTCCGTATGAAAAAGAGAAGTACTACGTAGATGAGAAGAGGTTTGGATCTATTGTTTTGTCCTCCATATTAAAGTAGAAAAGAAGGGTTGTAATGTTAACGAGTTGAGTCTGGCAATCGGACTTGCTCTGCCGACTGATCACTTGTTCTTGATCTGGGTTTCATTCCAGTACACCATAGCCGAATCATGGACACTACCGAAGCAATTCCCGTAGTTTGCACACCACATGTTTGCTTTAATGTCTTGAAAGAGAGCTTGTTCTTCACTATTAGCATCATCTTCTTGATTTAAGTTGAGATTTCGGATTAACTGAAAATAAAAGATCCTTTGAGGCAGCACTTCTTGATTACATTCATATATATTTAGGTGAAATGTATTTTTAATCATTGGTTGTGTAACTTTTGATTGCTTCTGTCATTAACCATAGCACTTCCTATGGAGGGTTCTTTTTGTTTTTTCCTTTTCTTCTACACTTTGATGCACTTGAATTAGAGGAAGACATGACTGACTACCTGCAAGGTGTATTGTTATGTGTTATGCCAGTTCAATCATCAGCTTTGTTTCCATTAAATACTTCTTCTATACCAGCCTTGTTTTGAATGTTTATTTTAGGATTTTTAGCTATAAGCCTGGTTTTTTATGTTTTATAAGTTGTGCTTCCTTGTACTTGATCATTATAAAATGCAACCTTGCTGGAGTAAATAAAAGCATCATATCACTCCCTATAAAATTACAGTTTGTGAATTGTGATATGTTTTTCTTGGCATATTTATATACTATTTATTTTAAAATGTTGTTGTAGAATTCTTGACTTTTTCTTATCAAGTAATGTGCCTCTTTTATTAGGCATATGGAATATATTTCAGAACAAGCAATGGAAATAGATAATATACATTTATCACTTGTTCTAGATAGAAAGGATTATTTAATCATTTAACATAATTCAGACTTCTCATTCAGCACACATAGTAAACAGTCTGTTATCTGAATGTCACTTAATCCAGACAGACGTCTTAATTCAATCAAACGTCTTAATCCATTCAAGACTTAATGGGAAAAAAGTAAACAGCCCCTTATTTTCTTATAAAGATGATGGGGTTCATGTTTCTGTTGTCCGCACCAAGGCAGGCATAAGATTCATAAAGCTTTCCATGTCATATAACAGTTGTATATAAAGTTCCCAGATTCGGGCATGTTTAGATAGGAGATCATTCTCAAATTCAATAAGCGCTTTTGCCTTTTCCGAACATTCTTTGCAGGGACAGAGCTTGGAAAAATCATATACGGGTACCTCTGCTTCTGGCACAATCACCGTTATATTACCAGGAATTCTTTAAATTAAATTTAGCACATTAAGCCTGGCAGTTGATTCCCCAGGCCCCAGCACATGAGTTCTTGTTATATGATAAATCAATTCTGTATTGCTGTTATACTAATTGAGCAACAGTAATCAACTATTCCCAAGTATATTCAATAATAAAATTTAATTCTTTATAAACTACTGTCACAAATAAAATTTAGATATTGTTTAACTAAATTGAGGCAGCCTTGAATTGGACAGGAGTAAATCAAAGCTTTGATGTTCATATCAAATCTTCTCCAGCAGAAAATGAAACAGTATCAGCAATCACGCATAATATAATGATAACTTAAAAGAAAGATCTGCAAATGCTTTCATTCAGATAAAACCCAAATGCTACAATGATTTTTTGAAATTTCAGATCAACACAGAAGAATTAACCAAGCTTTAAACTTAACCGCCAAACCCGTACAGAGTCCTTCCTTGCCTCTTGAGAGCATAGACCACATCCATGGCAGTCACCGTCTTCCTCCGAGCATGCTCCGTGTAGGTAACCGCATCACGAATGACATTTTCGAGGAAGATCTTCAGCACGCCTCTGGTCTCTTCGTAGATTAGACCGCTGATTCTCTTCACGCCTCCTCTTCTGGCGAGCCTCCGAATCGCCGGCTTGGTGATGCCCTGGATGTTGTCCCGGAGAACCTTACGGTGGCGCTTTGCTCCGCCTTTCCCCAACCCTTTTCCTCCTTTTCCACGGCCGGACATTTTTCTTCCTCTGACGGTTGCTACTTGACTTTGATTTAGGGATATGAGAATTGGAAGGGTACAGCTTCTTACAATGAATTTAATGGCGAAGGAGGGTTTTTATAAGGGTTTGAATGGATGGGCGGGAAGTTAAAATTGGCGTCAAGTTTTGGGGGATTTCGAATTCGAATTTGGAGCTTTTTGTCCTGAATCCCAGTGGAACTGACAAAATGTTTTGAACCGTTGATGAAGAGAGGGTCGATTGTGTGTGAAGTGTGAACTTCTATGCGGATCGGTGACATGGCATACCGCTGTAGGAAGATTGACGAATGAAGTGGGCGTTTACAATTTGTCCCTGTTGGTAACACGATACAACTAAACACGAAAGTTACTTAAAACGCTGCTTACTAATAGAAAGAGGTGCTTAAAGTTTCCCTTACTAGGCATATCAACCTCATGTATTAATTAAACGACACTTTAATCTTTTTCAGTTTCTAAATTTACTCTTACCTTTACCCATTGCCCTTACCCTATTGCTACCCCACCCTGCCCTACCCTACCTTACCCCGACCCCAACCCCACCCTTGACCTGACCATACCACACCCCCACCTTACCCCCTACACCGACCCTACCCGCCACCACCTACCTTACCCCTCCCTCACCCCTTACCCCTTTACCCCCTACCACCTTGCCCTACCTTGACCCGACCCCGACCTTGACACCACCCCTACCCCCGCCCCTTCCCTACCCGACCCCTGCCCCTACCTCGACCCACCCCTACCCCACCCCACACTTGACCCAAGCATACCCCACCCCTACACTCCACCACCTGCCCTACCCCACCCCTACCCCCACACCACCCCTTGACCCGAGCATACCCCACCCCCACCTTACTCCTACCCCTTACCCCACCCCCACCCTCACCCCTTACCCTCCCCCTTTACCCCCTACCACCTTCCCTTACATTGACCCTTGACCCGACCCCGACCACACCCCCTTCCCTACCCCTTTACCCTCTACCCCTACCCATTACCCCCACCCCATAACCCCTACCCTCACTTGTACCCCTTACCCTGACCCTACCCTTTTACCCCTACCACCTGCCCCTACCTAGACCACATCTTGATCCCACCCCTCGACCCCACCTCGACCCCACCCCTCGACCCCCGACCTCATCCATTCCCATTACCATAGCCCCTACCCCTTTACCCCATATCACGTGCCCCTACCTCGACCCAACCCATACGAGTAGGGTGGGGGTTGGTATGGGTGGGAGTAGGGGTTGAGGGTAAGGTCGTGGTAAGGGTAGGGGGTAGGGAAGGGGTAGGGGTCAAGGGTGTGAAATTGGGGGTATGGTGAGGGGTGGGGGTACATGGCGGGGTAGGGTGGGGTAAGTGACTAAGCGTACGAGGTGACCCACATATTATATTATATACTCGTGTTCATGAATGTTTGTGTGTGTGTGTATCTATAGGGTTATTTCGGACATTTTATTGTTAAACGGTATTTTAAATCCTTTGACGTAAACATGAGCTTACAACACTGCTTATTTTATGCGCCGCTTATTAACGTGAGTCTTAATAAGCACCATTTACTAAAATGTGAAGAAAATGTGTTCTAAATCTTCTTCGGGTAATCGGGTCAGAATTGTTTCTTCGGGTAATCGGGTCAGAATCGTTGATGGATCGGATTGAGACAAAAACAGAAAAAATCACTTTTTTGTCACGTGACTACTATACCACTCCCACATCTAGTCTCTTACTTTTAGATTGTCCACATCTAATCCGTGATCATTATCCCCTCACCACCCTCGTCCTTCTGGCCAAAATTCCGGCAAATTTAGTCAACCTATCAGCCTCAGAATCAGTCTTTGCATTAAATTTCATATAAGGTTGGTTTTTTCATATTAAATTTGGTTTTATATAAATTGAACTTTAATCACACACTAATCCAAATACGTCAACTTTGCATACTAGCCCTTAAAATGTAGGTATTTTTTAAATTTGGGATGCGCCGGAACCTAGATTGGCCCCTCCCTAGCTATGCCCCTACCCTTGTAACACTCTATATCTCCGAGCTGAGCTCACCCACCAGCGAGTAAATATGAGGCAGGTTTAAAATCATTGATTCACATTCAGATTAAATTGGTTTCAACAAGGGGTCGAGTAGTCTCAATTAAATATATATTCAATTATTCACATAACAATATAACAATATGTTTTTGAAAATATTCTATAACCTCATTACAGCTACTAACCATAATCATATAACATCTGTTGGGGTAATTGGCCCAATACGGGATCGGCCCAATACCAATAAGGAAGAAGGGACCGAATAACGGCCCACGAAACGTGTCTGACGCTCGTCCCACCTACGTGACGCTCGTCGCCAATATCCTTGTCCAGTTAAGGCCAAACAGTCATTTGAGGAACTCAGTGGGGACGCTCTGCGTGGATCGAGCGGCATCCCTGGCCTTGCGTTTGCTTGAGTCCAAAACCAGGAAGCTTGAAGATGATTGTCTCGGACTTTTGGCAGGAAAACAACATGTTGGCGGGAAACACATTTAATGCACCAATTTTGGTGGTTGGGAGGCTAGACACTCATGATCCTCCACATCACCACTAACACCTACCCATACTAGTATAACTAGCAATATTTATTTTATAGATAAGGGGGTTGACAAATTGTACTAACTAGCAATAGCTCTTGTTTCCTTTGCTCATAGCTTAGATTAGACGATCGGCCTGCAGTAGGGTGTGCTATAATTGTTTGTTATTATTGCTTAATAAGAACTCGGCCCACAACCTGGTCTCTTCTACTCATTTAACCATTTGATACTTGTGCCATTTCATAAATTAAAACCACTAAAACCCATTGAACCCCAAGGAAAGGTGTTGAGTCCTTGGAGTCAAATGAATTAACCTCAACAATATCAATTCTTTCTCATTAACCATTGTTATTCGAGAATAACCAAGCATTCCAGCCCAGCTGGTTGTGAGGTCACCGTGCCTAATGGAAAGTCTCAAGTTCGAAACTCGCTAGGCACATAAGGGGTTGAAACTCAATGGAGTGAGTTTCAGCCATGATTACTCCAGCCCCCACCCCAGACCCCGTGGAGTAAAAAAAACTTAAAAAAACTTGAGAATAAATCTGAAACGTTGATTTGAGTTAGGGCTGCACATCGGGCGGGTTGGGTCGGGTTTGCTATATTTTTTGGGCCTACCCGATTTGTTCGGGTTTGCTATTATTCAACCCGCGTTACGCAAAATAAATTGGTAAACCATGCATGAGCGGGTTGGGTAGGGTCGGGTATTGAAAAAAAATCACTTCGGGTTGCATCTTTATGTAGGAGATTAATGTAACCAATTTAAAACTTGATTAACTTGTTTTCAAAACACACAAACAAATAGAAGTACTTAGTACTCGTATCTTTTATAAGCAAAAACATCCTTCCGTAAAGGAAGATCATTTAGAAGGAAACATAAATATATAATAATCACCTAATCAAAATGGTAAATGTTTAATTATAATTCTAGTATCATAAAGTCCTAGATAGAGCACATTGGTCTTAAATTGAAATTATCCAAGAAAACATTGTAGCATAATAATATTAAAATGAACTTCGGCCGGGTCGGGTACTATCGGGTTGGAGATTTTAAATCCGCAACCCTACCCATTAGGTGAGGGTTCAATCATATTTAACCCATGAATATTTTTAAAAATCAAATACCCGATTTAATAGGGTCGGGTAGGGTTGGGTCGGGCGGGTTATGCGGGTTCGGGTTATTCTTGTGCAACCCTAATTTGAGTGATACATTTTTTGAAATCGAAATGTGCAATGTCGTGGATGAAAAATATTGGTATTTTAACGAGAAACATAGAGTTAATTAACAGGGAAATGTATTGCAATAAATAATTTTCAAACTCATACAACTGCACAAAATGGGCTTTTTAGTACTAGTGAACTTTGAACACATTAAATTTTGTTACACGTGTTAGCTTGTCTATAGACAAAACTCTACACAGTTTAAAAATGAAGGACATGTGGTGTTGCCAACGTCTGCATATGAACACTTTTAATTTTTTACAAAAAATATGACTAAAGTATGTGACTAATAGTCCCTTCCAGGGGACTAAATCGGGGGGCTTTATCTCCTTATCCTTTTATCTTAATTGCTGAAAGATTTAGTGCCTTACTTTGGGGACATTAAAATCTTGGGTGAACTGATGGTGTACCCGTGTCTAGGCGCACACCAATGATATGTCATTTATTCTTTGCAGATGATAGCTTGTTATTTTTCAAGGCTAACCATGGTGAGGCGTCGGTGATTAAGGAGATTCTTCAAAGATATTTTTCAATTCTAATGTCTCTTTGAGCTGCAGGGAGTGCTTGATTGGATTGCTGGGTGTGCGGCCTGCGGATATGGGAGAGAAGTATTTAGGTCTGTCGACACTCTTTGGGCGGAATAAGAAGCACATTTTGAGCTATTTGAGACAACGGGTTGTTCAGAGGCTTCAAAGTTGGAACAACAAATTCTTTTCTTTGGCAGGGAGAGAAGTTTTGCTGAAAACGGTAATTCAAGATATGCCGTTATATGCTATGAATGTTTTTCTTCTTCCTAACGAGTTATGCCAGGAGATTGAAATCATTATGCATGTGTTTTGGTGGATTGGTAATTCCGAGATAGGGATCCGATAGGATTTTTTTAGTAGACGGAAAAAATTTGGAGGTATGAGATTTCAAAGGATTAGATAATTTAATAGTGCTATGTTGGCTAAGCAGGCATGAAAATTACTTATGGATCCTTAGTAGGTAAAGTTTTGAGAGGCAAATATTTTCCTAATGGGTCTTTCTTAACGGCCAGATTGGGACATAATCCCTCTTTTGTTTGGAAAACTATTTTTTAGGGTCAATAGGTTATAAAGGATGACTACCGCTAGCGTGTGGGGGGGGGGGGGGGGGGGGGATATCTATCATTGTATGGAAGGTTTTGTGGCTTCCGGATGAAATCAATTCTAAAATTACTTCTGATGTTCTGGTGGGCTTGGAGAACATTACGGTAGCAGGTATCATTTCACCAGATGGAAGCGAGTGGGGCGAGGATGTCCTGTATGAGATGTTTAATGGGAGAGATGGTGATTTAATTAGACGCATTCCT